ACAAGTCAGAAAACACAATGACAAATCAGACAAACCGGAAGAGGTAGGTATAGTTTGAGACAGCGCCATTGCTTTTGGGATTACTCACCGCTGACTGGACGAGACATCTGTCAATCAACGTATACAGGAAGAACCAGCCGAAGAACAGCAGAGTCCTGGAAGAAAGTTCTTTGGCCCTTACTATGGAATAAAAAATGCGGAGTGTATTTATATTGTTAAAAGTGGCTGTAAAACATCAGCTCCAGTGGCGCAGATGGATAAGTGTGTGTCATTGGCTTTTTGACGCGATTGACCCGGGTTCGATCCCGCCTTTTGCCGAACTTTTTTTCCCCCTCCCTTTTCAAATCTCGTATCACATCGTAAAGGAATTTATTTTCAATAAAAATTAAGGAAATAATCAAAAAGTTGAAAATAAAGTATCGGGTAGGGTTAGGGTAGGTGTAGGGAGGTGTTATTGTAATATTTACCATTATATAATCATAGGAATATAGAAAAGTTTATGAAAGTGTCACTCCACAATACAATAGCAAAATATATAAATATGTATAGTATTTTTATGTTACATTAATCAGTGTCTAGCACACAAGTACTTCACATGAATCCAGTCCATCAATAAATGTCTTGTGATGCAAAAAGCTGCTTGTTTGTATGAAACAAATCTATCACAAAGGCGTTTTAACTTTAAACTGTTGCTTACTGTCAAAATGTCCTCACTTGCTGCATCCATTGCAGCCAGCAGTGTCATCTGAGTATGTGGTTGGCGATCATAGACCTTCCACGTCCACGGTGAGCAGAACTCCTCAACTGCATTAAAGAATGGGGAATCAGGCAGGAGGAAGTCCCTCAGCATCCTGTAGTGGGCCACAAACCATTGCCTGGTGGTGTTTGAGCAATGGAAACTCACATTATCCCAAATTACCACATACTTTAGTAAATCATCTCAAAATGGACCCCTCTTGTCATCAGGGATGAGAGCTCTGTGGAGGATTTCTAAGAAAGTGAGGGGATGCAGTGTATATGGCCCTATAAGAGGAATATGAGTTAGCACACCATGCTCTGAAATAACAGAACACATTGTGATATTCCCTCCCCGTTGGCCTGGCAAATCAACAGTAGCTCTTTGGCTGTTGACATTTCGACCACGACTTCTGCTTTTAGTTAGGTTGAAGCCAATCTCATCCATG